GGATGATCTCTCCGTGACGTTGGACTGGAAATTTTTGAAAGTGCAACAACCAGAAATTTATTGCTCTGATTGGCTGGTTTTGGCTGCTTGTCAAACCTTAATCAATGTCCTCCTCCCGAAACCAAAAAAAAAAAATTTGAGGTTAGAAATAAGGCACTGGTTTATATATTTCTTTACTTTCCTTTTACTTCTTTCATTCACCACCACTGTCGTCATGGTTCCTATACGTTACCTTTTATTCACTTGTCTATTCCTTCTCGATTCCCAAAAAGTGCTTGCTCAAGGTAACCGACGCCTAGCTGCAGACAACATGCTGACCTCTCTATGCCCTGTTTTATAGCCACGATCGCACAAGAATGCTCTCCCGAATCCATGGGCGACTACAACATGAGTCTAAGAATTGGCTCCATATTTATTATTCTGATCACCAGCGCTATTGGTAAAGGAAGAAGAAAATAAGATCGGCTCGATCATCAGCAGCTGATCCCCCCCCCCTTTTTTTTTAGGCACATTTACGCCCCTGCTGATTCACCGTGCACGAAAATATGAACAAAATAGCTTTCAAGATTGGGTCTTGCTCATTGCCAAATTTTGTAAATGCCCACTCTTGACAAAAAAAAAAAAAAAAAAAAAAAACTGACCCAACCCGTTTTTTCTAATCAGTTGGTACTGGCGTCATCTTGGCAACTGCCTTTATCCATATGCTCCCCGATGCAATGAACAATTTTGGCAGCCCTTGTCTCGATCCTGAATGGCAAACGTACGGCTCTTGGGCTGGTATCTTTTGTATGATCGCTTCTTTCGCTTTGCAATTGCTCGAATTAGCTGCCGTCAGCAATAGCTCCCGCCTTAAACTGCAGCAATCCCAGTCCACCAAGGAAGAATATGACTGTGAAGCCCCTCCCACCCCCACCACCCCCACCACCCCCACCAACCCCAAAAACAACTTTTCCGAACCACCTGTCGATACCCGCTCCATCGGCTCCACCACCACCACCACCCCCACCCAACACCCTCATCCCCCCCACCATGTCCACTCTGCCGGCTTCTTGGAAACCCACAATGCCTACAAGGACATCAACACCATCATCCTGGAACTCGGCATTGTCATGCACTCGGTCATCATCGGCATCACCCTGGCCAACACCGGTGCCGACGAATTCCTCTCCTTGTTGATCGCTCTCGTCTTCCACCAGGTAATTCAAAAAAAAAAAAATCGAGACTGTCGGCGACTCATTTTTCTTTCTCAGTTCTTTGAAGGCATTGCCTTGGGCACTCGCGTCAACGGCATGCACGGTGACGGCTGGGCTCGCCCTGTCATCATGGGTCTCTTTTATATCATCATGACCCCCTTGGGCATTGGCATTGGCATTGGCATCCACTCCTCTTTCAACCCCAACAGCCCCACTAGCATCCTCGCCAGCGCCATCCTGGACTCCTTGTCCGCCGGTATCCTCCTCTACAATGCCTATGTCTCTCTCATGAGCCTGGAAATCAACCATAGCCCTGAATTCCAACAATACTCCATCACTCGTAAACTCATCTGCTTCCTGTCCATGTACATTGGCGCCGCCATCATGTCCTTGATCGGCAAATGGTCTTGAACCATCCCCCCCCCCTCGCTCACATCCCATCTTTGCATTTCATGATACCCCCTCTTCCTCTTTGTATCTCTTCATATCTCTTTCCCAATAAAAACCAGCGCATATGCCGCAATTGTACATAGCTAGGGAAAACCTTTGCCCGAAATCGATCTGTGCTTTTCCACCTTGCGTTTCACCCTCCTGCAGGAACGCTTCTTGCCGTTCTTTTTTTTTTTTTTTTGTTTTCTTTTTGCTGCCTTTTTTCCGCCACACAGCTCATCAGTCCTTTCTTCCTCATATCTTCTTGAAAATAAAAAAAACTCGTCCGTGTCACCTCGCTCATCGCATTTGTCATCAAATTCCTGCGTTTTCCTTGACCTCCTTGAAAAAAAAAAAAAAAAGGCTGCAAACGGCATGTCATCCGCTCTTTTTTTTTTTTGAAACAAGCCCACTGAGAAAAACATGGTTTATTGAACACATCGGGTCCCCTTGAATGTATGAAAAAAAAAAAAGGATGTCACTTTGGCATCGGATCTTCTCGCTCCTTTTCGGGAAAGAGCTTCCGAAAAAAAAAAACACCCCTCTCCAGCTTACTTTTTTGTTCACTCTTCCCTCAGTGCACAGACGTGACAACTATCCTTGCAAGTATGACCAGGCTGTATGGACGTAGAAGATGATGAGGAAAAGAATAGAAAGCTGCTCACCCATGCCTTGCTTTATGAAGAAGAAAAACTTCGGCGCTGGTGCCGCATGGCAATCTTCTCACGATTCGACGTCCTCCACCCCTTGATTTTTTTTTTCACAATTTCGTAACCACGGCTAGTGACATTGATCAGGCGTTTGGACGGCAGGGGGCTCGTAAGTGTACATTCATTAACTCTCATGCCTAGGCTACTTGTTTGCAAATGGTCAAGTGGAAAGGCCGAAATTCAATGATTTGACCAGATCGCCTAAAGATAAAAAAAAATGGATGGACAACCCCGATGAATCGGCTCAGTTTCTTTTTTTTTTTTTTTATTCGTCAAGCATTAATTAAGCTATGCAAAATCTCACATCAATCCGCCACATTCTTTTGGCGGGTGCTCCAGTTAGATCATAAAATGTGCGCGAAAGTAAAAATGTAGTGCGGCTGACTGAAGGCATGCTAGCGCAGGCTTGCCAGCCTCTTGCTCATCCTCCCGCTGTCTCAGAGAGTTGCCACTTTTACCACGATCATTTCTCATCATGCTGTGCCACTATGCAACGTTTGGGATGAATCGACTTTTCAACTTTGCGCTCTGATTTTTGATCAAATCGTCTGGAGGTCCTAGTAGTGCTTCATACATCTCGATCTTGATCTTATCACCCTTTTCCATTACTTCCCACATCTCTTTGGGTAGATCTTTATCGTTCTTAACGATTTCCCACACATCGTTGTAGTTGTTCTCGGGTCCCCTGGCGAAAAACGCCAATTTTTCTTTTTTTTTTTTAGCTGGACAATCGGAGGGGTCAAAACGAAACTGATCAAAGCTGGCTGGACAACTTGACCAATCCACCTGATTTTTTCAACACCGCCATCATTGATGCATTTACACACCCACACAAAATTCCAGATCGACCCAATCTCTCCAAAGTGATTTGCAGCGGTAGCTTTTTTTTTTTCGAAGCGAAGAAAGAAAAGAAGTTGGATGGCCAATTCCGTCTCCGCTCCGTGCTTTCGAGACTGAGTGACAATTAAACATCGGCATTTAAAACCCCAAAAAAGAAATAGCAAAAACCAAACCTGCGGCGCAACGTCGGTGCCCACCATCATCATTTATTACCTGTGCACCATGTTTGACGCCGATCGGTGGAGGTCTATTGTATTTTAGCTATATCTTTTTTGGGTTAAACACCGGCGGTAAGATTGTTGCCCTCAACCCCATGCCTACAAAACACTTTCTTGGATGAAAAAAAAAAAAAGGGCATAGCGCCAATAAAAAATAATGCTGGTTGAGAGCAAAAAAAATTAATTACGGCACTCGGTATTCCCGCGTGATCTCTCACCGCAGTACTAACCAAGCCGTACGCTGCTTATCTGCAGAGATCGAACGGGATCTGGATTTTTCAACGTCGTATGGCCGTAACATAAAAGTAAAAGTCACGTGACCACCAAATACGTTGCACGGAATTTCGGCGCCCGTTTTGCCGTCGGACCGGGCCGATGTCGGAAGTCGGGAGGTGATCCGGAAGGCGCTTGGTCTGATGGTGTTCGGCCACCGCACCATCCATGCCCATCGTTTGTCGCTGGCAAGTAAATAGGTATATTGTTGGTATTCAAGAGAAATACATACGATGTCATAAAAAAATAAATAAATGAGCAGTCGATGCTGGAGAGAAGCATGGGTGTAGGATGGGATGGCAGGGTGGCCTTTTTTTTTATTTCAAGATTCGCAGAGATACGCGATGAGCAAAGCATTTCACAATCTTTCTTTCACAATCCAACACATCTTATACTATATAATATAACCAGTATCTTACACGAATGACCATGGTTCTACCGAAGATCATGGGTAGCCGTAGCAAGATTGTAGCGGCATCGTGATCGCTGTCAAGATTTTGAAAAAAAAAAAAAAAAAAAAAAAAAAAAATTGGCATGAGGAGGAGGTTCGTTATAATCATATTGTACATGCAAATTGTGTGAAGTTAGATTTGAACAATGTCTTTAAGTTCATGACGGGCCTAGCTGGACGCTAAGAGGGATTGATTACGGGCCATGGCCAGAGAAGAAAAGAAGGGAGCGGGAGAATTTGAACCAGCCAATGAAAAAGCGGTTTTCCGCTTGAGCTCAGAACCTGTTTTGAATATTTTATTTTTTTGATGAGATCTACACAAGTTGGCTGGGCGACCTTTGCCAACGAACTTGGAATTAGCATCCATACCTTTCATAAGGACTTGCAGACTTGCAAGATTTTTGATGATTTAAAGCGTCTTTTTTTTTTTTTTTTTTTTTCAAAAATGGCAAAGATGAAAAATAGAAAAGGCGTCATAGATCCGGTTTGAACGGGTAGATCCACTTCATATTTCGTCTTGGTACCGAAGCTGACGATACGTGATGATGGCGAAAAAGCCACGTCGATTGAGCAAGGTTGCCCAGCCAACATGAGAAGGGTCGCGATTTACATCCTCCGATCCCACAGCTAAAAAAGCAAGAGAAACAAGCTGAACGACAGACACCAGGGGTTGATTTTTTTTTTTTTTTGACGTTCGTAGTGCAACGTGATCGGATGTGTCTGTGTAGAGTTGGCAGTTGCAAGAACGAGTTGCAATCGCTCCTGTGACTCGCCAACAAAAAAAAAAAATGGACCAAAGAGGACCAGCACCTAAAAAAGAACACCAAGATATGATCACTTCAGCAAGATAAAAAAAGGGGGCCAAGGCAGCAAAAAAAATTTGCTCTTCCCGCACGGGGAATTGAACCCCGGCCACTGCTGTGAGAGAGCAGGATCCTAGCCACTAGACCATACGGGAGCACGCGAACCCCTAAAATGTTTGAACTCCGATTCTCCCGTACGGCAAAATATTTTGCCGCAGCCCCGGGGGTGAGCCGCGGCACGGTGCCGGATCCATCCGGGATGTTTTTTCGAATCCGGAGTGATCCCGAGTCGCGGAGGTATCCCCGGCGTAGCAAAAAGCTGATCCGAAAGTGACTCCGATGTGACTGTGATCCTACAGAGTCATTTATTTCATTGCCAGCCATTTTTCACGGTCGAGTCACACATAATAAAAATGCAGCTGCGTAAATTTTGATGGTTTTTTTTTTTTTTTGCCTCAGAACGACTATTTTTTTTTTTTTTTCAGAACGACAGCCGACTGGGTCTGGTTAGTAATCGGAGCTAAAATATAAAATCATTGGGCCAGCCGGTTGAGCAAAATCGGCTTGCTGAGCCGTCAACGGGCCAATCTGCTCTTCATCGATTTTGGCCACTTTTTTTTTTTTTGCAATTTTAAACTAAAGCAGGCCCAATGGTTCATTATTACGACTCCGCTTCCTAACCTGACCCATGTTTAACTAGGAGGCCTGCCTTTTTTAATCACCGACATCACTTGCCAAACATGGAATAATTTTTCAGTGCATGCTTGACAGCCTCTTGCTCTTCTGGTTTTCCCCCGCTGTCCGAGAGACTTGTAGTTTTAACCAAGGTCATTTCTTGCCATTTTGCACTGGCATGCAAAAGTTGGTGTGGATTTATTTGAAGCATTTTCGCGCTGTGATTTTCATCAGGTCGCCTGGGGGTCCCCTGGAGAAAATGGCTGATTTTTTGATTTTTTTTAGCTGGGGAATCAGAGAAGCCAAATCGAAACTGATCAAAGTTGGCTGGGTGACTGGACCAAATGACCTGATTTTTTCAGCACCATCATCATCCTTGCATTTGTGCATTAGTGTAAAATTTCACATAGAACTGATCACACAAAAGTGCTGTGGAGTTCCATTTTTTTTTTTTTACGAAATGAAAAGGAACTGACATATTCAGTTTCCGATCACCTTTTTGGTCATGACCGGCACTTTTTTTTTCTTTCTTTTTAACTTTTGCATCGGATGTCATGTCTTTTCACGTTAATTAGCACAACATCCCTCATTTACCTTTACTAAGCTATATACACATATATTAAAACTTGGTTGTTTGTTTAGAAATGTCTTTCTACAACAAAACTCTGCAATGATACCAAAGGTGGGCTTTTGATAAGTTTTTTTTTTGTCATCCAGCACTCCAAGAACTTTTAATTATAACACACTTTTCTAGACAGGAAATATACGGCGTCGTGTTACGGGATGGTGGTGGTATTAACACAATCTAGCTTTGTATTTTGCTACAGATGCCATGCATGAAACTTAGTGCTACATCATGGCCATGCACCGTGCTTTTTGGCTAGCGTTTGCAGGATGACAATGAACTGGAACACATTGAACCTGAGACTAAGGGGATTCAGTGCAAGATTGGCAACATTAAGCATCAACAGCAGGGGCTCCAGGTAAGCCCTGAACAGAAAAAAAAAGCGCGTCACTTTGATTTTTTTTTTCTACTTGGGCTATTCCGATGTAGTTTGTCATGAAGTTCCTGAGCTGCTGAGTCATATGAGCAATGCCAGGGACCATACACAACGAAACGGGCATTTTTCCCGCTCTTGGGGTGAAGGTGTTGTTGTTTGACCAAGGCTTCTCTGTTAGCCAGTGGCTATGGCGCGTGGCAGTTGCATGTAAAGTAAAAAACAGCAAAAAAAAAGAGGAATGGGTGGTATTTTTTTTTTTTTAATTGGCATCAATCATTCAGCACGTCCATCGAATAAACAAAGGCTATTGAAATACATTCAAAATGAAGGGGGCATGCTTGTGTTCGTGGTCGCTGGAAAAAAGTCGTGACCAAAATTTGCGGTGCCGGCTGGTGAATTGCTAGGACAGAGAGTCTATCCCAGACTCTCTCAAGTGCGTCGCAGCCGAGTGTCACCAGAGGGCCTTCACTGACCGTCTTGGCCCAGGTACGAGTGAGTTTGCCGCATAGGGTTGGTCCATTTCTTGCCTTTTTTATTCTCCAAAAACATGTCCATATCGATGCCCACGGTTACAAAGAAGGTGTGCAAGTAATCTAAACATCAATTAATTTAAAAGATGAACCAAAAATGATTAGCGACAAACCAACGATGTCATGATTCAAATGCTGATGAGGCAGCACAAAGAAATAAAACCCCGCACCTTTTTTTTTTTTTTTTTGTTTTTTCAAAGCTCGCTTTTGTATTTATTGTTGCCGTTTTTTTTTTTCTGCGACCTCATTTTAGTATAGATTTTATTTATCGCCTTCCTCCTATATTAAGACATCATGGCCCGAAGGACAATGAAGGGATCCACGTTTGATCTAGCGTATTATCAAACGGATCAAGTCATAGCCCTGTTCGAACCTATCGTTGAGCAGCTCGTCAAGGATCTGCCTGCCCATCAGTCTTTGGACGTGACAGCGTCCACTCTGTCATTGTTGGCAGGTCAACTACAGCAATTCCAACAAGACTACATGGGCATCCTCAGCCGCCCGGGCCCAACAGCTCCCACACGTATACCTAGCAAATCATTCAAGATCACGAAGCCTTTGACCAAACGACATCCACTCTTCACCATCCTGCTCGCCACCCTCCGATTTCGTATCAAAAACAACTGGCCCAAATGGGACTTTACCATCTTGTCTAAGCGTAATATGGAGCTCATCCACTCGATTCGATCTGAACTGATTCGGCGCCACCAATTACAACCCCCCAGAATCACTTTTGATGCCTCTGTGCCCTCCAAAGACAGAAAGAAACTCATACCTTTGATTCGCAAGGTCGAAGGTTAGTGGGAAAAAAAAAATAAAGTGTCAGTCTTTGCCAGAAGGGCCGTCCTCACTTTTTTATTTATTTCTTTTTGTCGATAGGTGAATATGTCAAGACAGCGGACGAGGCAACACATGTCCTGCATGGGCCATTGCATGTATACGAAGAGGAAGAAGAGGATTGGTTTCGGACGCTCGAAAAGAAAGACAACAAGGTGCTGGTTCACTGGTGGTACTATCCCGACTCGTACGACACCTGGCTGATTCAAACCGAGCAGTACGCTGATCCCGAGGACGCTCCAGTGCACAATGGTTCCTGGCATCTGCTCTGTCGCTGGCTACAAGATTCCGACAAGTTTAATGAACTGATGAACGAAGAAGACTATGAAGATGTGGACGATGACATTGAGTCGACTGACCACCACAAGGCTGAGGAAGACGAGGAGGAAATCGACGAGTCTGACGATGGCCTCCAACACTCTGATGACGGCGAAGACGAGGACGAGGACGAGGACGAGGATGATGAAGAGGAGGAGGAAGAGGAAGACAAGCCTCAAGGCCGCCCCCTTGCCTCCAAGAAACCTGTGCCTGTGCATGACCCCGAAGCCAACCTGCCTATCCTCGACCGGTCTGCCCAGCCCCGGGTCCTGGAATGTGATCGCGAAGCCGAACGAATCCATGCCGAAAGCATCCGCTCAAGGAAAACGGAATACGAGCCTTATGCCAACGGCGAAATCATCAATCTTTCTCAATTCACCCCTGACGCATACACTCTTCCCTATATTACACCTGTGACCAAAAAAGACGTCGTTAAGGATGAAAAATCAATAGGTAAGAAAAGAATAGGCCAAAGGCTATTAACTCACATTTCCTCCCCACGCGCCTCACAGAATTAGAGACGTATGCCCATGCATCACCCATCAAGGACTCAACGCTTTTCACACCCTCATGGCTTGATCTCCACGAGGTGCATGAAGTCGAGAAGAATGCCATGCCGGAATGGTTTAGCAGCAAGCGACGCCAGCAGGAATATATCAGCTATCGAAACCACTATGTCCAACAATACCACGCATCCCCCAATAACTACTTGCTGGCCATGTCTTGCAAACAAGCTTTCCCATCTGCCGATCTCGTTCAATTGATGAAGATACACCGCTTCTTGGAGTTGCACAATATCATCAATGCCCAGGTAAAAAAAAAAAAAAAAAGTGGACTTTCAAAAAAGGAGAAGAAGAAGAAAAAAGACTGACGGCTCTTTTTTCAAAAAGATCGATCCAAGAAGACACTGGTGCAATCCGGTGGTGGATGGCCCGCATGATGCCTATGTATCAGTGAACATACCACGGCAACTAGATGACATTAACAGCTCAGTGGATATGGGCTACTTGCGACGCCTGATGTACGACCCCGCTCGATTGAAAAAGATACCCTCGCATTGGCCTTTCCACAAGGAGCCGGTTGTGTGCAACACATGTCGTATTTCATGTCACGATCTCCGGTACCAACATTACCTATACCATGACGTGCATGTATGTGTCAACTGTTTTGTCCAAGGCAAATTCTCCATGGCCTATTCGAGTGGCGACTTTATCCACGTGGAAGGGGATCCCGAAGAAGAACTACGTCTGCTACAACAGTCTCAGGACGCCATGGACGAAGAGTGGACCAACGAAGAGATCCTGCGGCTGCTTGAAGGCATCGAGAAATACGACGACGACTGGCTGCTGGTGTCGGAGCACGTGGGCAACCGAACAAAAGAACAATGCATCACCCAGTTCTTGCAGATGCCTATCACTGACGACGTGCTCAGCACCACACTGTCGGCCAAGGAACAGGACGAGCTGCCGTTTGGCTGTACCAACAACCCGATCATGACGTTGGTGACTTTTTTGACCGCCCATGTCAATCCCGGTGTGGGTGCGTCGGCGGCCAAGGCTGCTGCCAAGGTGCTCATGCAAGACGGAGCCGCCAAGACCCAAGATACCAGCCTGCCCGATCACTCCACGTCAACTGCCAAAGACGATGATGAAGGTGAATGGGTCGACATGTCCATGGATGTGGATCCCAAGACGGAGCCGATGGACTCCCAGCCATCCGCCGAAGAGACGCCAGTCGAGGCAAACGATCACGAAGCCGACGATGACTATTTCTCAGATCAGGCCACCTCCGACG